TATTGTATGTTCAGATATTCATACAACCAATCTTCAGGGGCCCATGACATATTTGTGATCATTTTATAAAATCCTGAAGGTGATTGGCAACTTTTTTTTAAATAACATTGGCGGGGAAAGAGCTAATGGTGCTAATTACACATTTCACTATAATGTTCATCAAAGAATGACAATAACTTGAGTACCCAGATACACCATTTAACGCAAGCATTCTCAGCAAAAATTGGCTCCAGATATGCTGTAATTTTGTTTGTTGTTTGTCAAACATTTTATTGAGAGCATTTTTTGCCCTATATTCATATGTTCCAGACAAAATCTACTGGTATAGCTGAAAAGTTAATCATGTGGATGTGTGAGGGATTGATTGTCTATGTGTCAGAGTATGCCTAGTTACTGAAATGGGAAGTAAAGGTAGTGTGGTTGACATACAGTTCTTGTTTTCACATATACAGCAAATTCTCACAATTTCTATTTAAGAGTTCCTTTGAATACCAATGAAACACACAGGTGGAAATCTAATAGTCTTGATAGGCACAGACCAAATTCCTTGAGGATATGGGCTATGTTTGAAATGGAATCCTAGCATTCTCTTCCTGCTGTATATAGTATGTGAAATTAGAAAGCATGTAACATAGGTTAAAAAAAAAAAAAAAAATTCTCAGACAAATAATAATAAAAAAAAACCTATTGGTAACCAAGAATGCTGATTAAAAAAAATGTAGCCATTCCAGTTTATGCATTGCTTTGTGGGACACAGTATTTTAAGCTGTGGGTATTTTAGCAAATGTATTCTGATATCTGATATATGTTCTGCGTATTACTACGAGTAGTATTTCAATATGCTGTTCCGTACATAGTTATGGAAATAAATTAATTACGCATAAAATATACAGTCAACCCAAAACATTACACAGGAAATAACTTTACTATAATGGAATGCGGTCTTATTGCCAGACCATCTTGGATATTGTGCACATAATTAAATATAAATTCACACACAGATTTAAAAAGAAAAATTAAAATAACATTAAAAATACAACATAGCTCCCAGTTTGATACTGGTTTCTGTGCTTTTATCCCTCATTGTCACCAGTTCTGTTTAGTTCAGGTGTTTGTTTTGACCACCTTATCCTAATAAGGGCCTTTGCGTCGTCTCCAGCACTGGAGGAGTGGCTACTGAGGTCAGCTACGCCTGACTCAAAATCGCTGCAGGTTGAAAGGTCATCGGGGTCACCGCTCTTAGGTTGGGCTGCTAGCTCTAGTGGCAGTGTGAAAGGAGGAGTGTGTTTCTCACTTCTCAGTGTAGTGAAATAGTCCAGTGGGCTGCCGAGTTCACGCTCGCTTGGAATTGGACGGCGGGGCCGTTCAGACAACTTCTTGGTCTCCTTCCTCTCCCCTGAAGTTTTCTCCTTCAGCTCGACAATTCTCTGTTTAGGTAAGCAAGTTTGAAGAGGTCAAAGTCAGTTTTACATTAGTGCAGCAAATAAAAGGAAAAAATTCAATTCTAATGAACCGTTTGAAATATAACACAAGCATACTTTAATGTGTAATATCAGAATGAATCCCATCCCAGAGAGGGTGATGTCTACTTGGTTATACTTTTTCAACTGCTTATTGATACATATGTGATATTTATGCATGCATGTGTATGCCTTGTCCAGCGTCCGTCTCCCGCGGTACCTCCTGGTGGGTGCTAAGCTCCTCCTCCAATTGTTGTGACTCCTCCCTTACTGCGTTCAGGCAATCGGCTGGAGACTGTGAGGTCACACTTTTCTCTGCACGGCCGTACATCCCCTTCCAAAACCTAGAACGTCATTTCCAGTTGATTCATCCTTTATTGAACGGTGTTACCCAACAAACCAATTTTATTCACTTTGCAAAGAACAATATATTAAGGATGGTAACAAAATGGTTAATGAACCTGTATGAATTTCTTTCTTCTGCTGAACACAAAATAAGATGTTGAAGAATGTTGGTAACCAAACAGTTGATCGGCCCAATTGACTTGGAACTATGGAAGTCAACAGGGTTCGTCAACTGGGTCCGTCAACTGTTTGGTTACCGACATTCTTCAAAATATCTTCCTTTGTGTTCAATAAGGTTTCTTACATGCAAACCGAAGCATTGAGAACGTTGCAAGTGTGCAGACTGTTAATATATGATATTTTAAGATATTTTTGAAAGACAGTCCACTTCGCGAAAAAAGGCAGGAGCCATCTTTGGAAAACAGTCTCGAGCAGTCGAACCACGAACGCAGAGCCAAGTTCTGGCTTGTTCACATCTCACCAGCGCACTTGGCTTGACGTTTGTGGTTCGACTGCTGTTTTCCAAAGATGGCTCCTGCCTGCATTCGCGAAGTGGACTGTCTTTATAAAATATCTTCTCATTAAACGGTTTATACACTTACAACGTTCTCAATGATTCGGTTTGCATGTAGGGACCCTGATTATGCTACCGTGTTAGTGTTGGGCTATTTTGAGCCTTGTTAGTGGTATTAACTAGCGATTTTTATTTTCATTACTCTATGCCCCATATACTAGCGTTATAAGCTAAACAGTTTTTAGAGATAAAACTCTTTACATCCGATAATCATGAAAACAAAGTTTAGGGAACGGTTGACTATGTACCAATGTGTAATTAGACCAAAGGTTCATTTTGCGCCGGAGTTGTCCTTTAAATTATTAAAAGGGACAAACTACCCCAGTAATTACATCAAACAGTAGCACTTATAACGCAACAGTCTTTTTTAGTCCACAAGTCCACTAAAGTACATTAGCTCAAAAAAAAAAAAAAAAAAAAAACATTTACAAAGGTGTCATTGCAAGCTGATTTGTGTTCAATATGGTTTAATTTCACATTCTCATTCTGACACTATTGAGCTTTGTCATCTCTGAGCCAATTCAAAAGGAAGCACGACTATTGTACGACATGAAGGAAGGTTAAGTGATCATTTAAAGGCATCATGGCCATTCAAATTGGGTTGACTTACTTGAAGCAGTAGGCAGTGGTGAGAGGTTTCAGAACACCCTGTGTCTGACTGTGGTCTGTCCTGTACAGAGGGTTTGTGTATTCGGCCCTGTTATCCCACAGGTGTGGCCACAAAGAGTGTGTTCGCTCTTGTAACCTGCATAGAGTACAAAGAGGGAGATTGAAAGAATAAACTAGCACATTAAGGTAATGAAACCAAGCTGATCCAACAGTTAGATTACCTTTTGATTAAAACAAAACATGTATGGTTGTGGTAAGCACTTGAAATAGAATCGAATCTCAACCTCAGTTTTTTTTTTTTTTTTTTTTTGCTGTAGTTGGTCATTTATATTATCATAAATATTCAGTCACTCTATTTCATCAGTAAAGTCTTTTGGATATTGAACTCTTGAACTAACCCTTTTTTGAAGAAGTATTGGCATGTTTGTCATGGCCATGAACTGGCCATTTAGACAGGAAAAGAATCTAAACATGTTAAGGGATGGACAGGCCTCCATACCATGCAGACATCTGACCTAGTTTTTTTGGTGTGCTCTACACTAGACGGACCTCCATTGGTAGCTTTTCGGTCGGTTGTGCACATTGAATTGGCGGCGCCCATCTGTGATCACTCTTATTGGCTTATGCCTCATTTCCAACAAGCGGTACAGTACTCCATTTTTTTTTTTTTGCCATTTCCATTGTCAGTTGTGAATGGTACCCTAATTCTGACCCATACAACTTTTTTGGGACTCTTCCATTGATGTACCTAGTACCCAGGGTACTAAAGGGTGGAGCTAGAGTCACTGCAGAACGTTGATTGGTTGACAGAGAATTGTCACTTGTGTGTGCTTTTTGGGCTTTTTTGGTGTTTTTTCTGCCCATCAAGTAAAGGTGCTGTTGGCAGTGGAAACGCAAGCCAGATCATGGTTTACCATCTTGAATCGTACCCTACTGTCCTGTACCGCTCTGTGGAAACAAGCCATTAGTGAACTAGTGTATAAGAGGAAAAACGAATGGGACGGGATGCTGGTTTGCTGGTCCCCAGCTACTCCAGCTCAGTTTTGCTTTGAAAACAGTATGGCTATGCTGGTCCACCAGCTAAACCAGCACTATACCAGCTCCAACCAGCATGGAATTTATTCTGGTTTAAGATGGATTTTTCAGCAGGGTACTTCTTCCAGGTTCTGAAGTGTATATCTGATGGATACTTTACCATCTCATAATATCACAGGAGAGGAGTTGTGAATAGCAAGGAAGCATCACGTAACAGTGACCACATAATGGATGTATATTATAATTCCAATCATACCATCCATTTCCACACTATAACATCCATTTTAATGGTTGCAAAGTACTTTGAAAACCAATACATATTAGCCAATACATGATTTCAGACGCATCTTTTGTTTACAGTTTGTGTATAGCCGTAGTCCTAGCTCTTCCGTTTTCCCATTTTGAATGACAAATACTGACCACGGCCACCTGCAGGTGACTGAAGAGTTATTTCCTCTCATGCAGATGCAGTATGTACATAGTAGTTGGCCATTGGCTGTAGTCTTTTTGCTTTTGGATGTAGTGTGTTCAAACAAGTTTTTGGTCCAGACGCAAGCAACATGAGTTGACACCACAATTGGCTTTCATCGCTACTAGTGATTTGATCTTGGTTTGTTGTGTCTGGGCCTTTAGGAGCTGTCATAATATCAACCTGGACTCACAAAAGTTACGTAGCAATAGCATCAGTTTGGATCCTGCCATTGTAGGGCAATTTCCCAGTAAACAGACTGTGGACAATCTATACAAGTACATCTACAACATCACAGTTCAAAAAGTAATATTTCTGTCAAAGTTGTGACCTAGCAGTTATCCTACATGCTCTGGCACGTTGCAAGTCTGCAAGTCCTCATGCAGCTGGTGCAAGTACAAGTCTGGCAAATGAGGGATATGCTGATCCCCCTCTTTTCTTTCTATTATCCATATCCATAAAAAAGTGGCAAAATGTAATTGGTTTTCTTACCTCAAGTCTCTCCTTTCTTTCTGGCAATTGCCGATGAAGTTCCCGTACTGGCAGGAGTAGATGTGTGTGTGTAGCTGTATGAGGAATCGCTCATTGAACTCAAACGCACAGGGGAACTGCTGCATCAACTGCCACACACACTCCAGAAACTGGTCCATAACTGGGGAAACCTCCTTAGGGTCACCGTCAAGATGAGCGTACCTGAATGTAAAAGATTTTATGCCGACACTTTATTACGACAGTCCACTTGAGACATTCTACTAACTATAAGTAACTTTGCAACTACCAGTCATAGGAGTATTATGGCTTGTTTCCTCTGAGTGGTACGGTACGGTACAGTTCGGTACGCAATTATTTGTGTTTCCACTGTCAAAAGTTGTGAATGGTACCAAAAAGCCGAACCGTACCGTACCACTTTTTGGGTTACCCTTCCGTTGGGGTACCTAGCACAGTGAAAGGGTACTAAAGACTTGTAATATGTTGGAGAATTGTATGATCCACTTCAATTATGCCTATGGTTGCTGTAAGCTTTTGCAATATAGGGTTGGGGGGGGGGGACAGTTTGAGCATTCTTGAAAATTTCTAAAAAACATTTTCATTTTTTGGTAAACTGAACCTGTAGTATTTCATGCTTAGATTGTAGTGGCTCAACTAAAGCTTAGAGACACACTGTATACTGCATGACTGATGGTTTAGTCACAGTATCTGTTATGGATTGAGTAATGAGGCCTTTCTGGTTTTGTATGTTATCCATGTACAACAAACATAGTAGAAGAGACTCACAGAAAGCTGCTATTCAACTCAATCATGTGATTCAATAAATTACAAACAAATGCAAGTCTTACATGCGAGTCCAGAAATGTGCAAATTGACATGAAAAACACAAACCTGTGGGAAAACTTGTGTCCAAATGACATCCAGTCCTTTTCAATCAGAACCTATAAGGATGAAGACTTGTGTTTAAATACTGACAAAAAAGTTACAAATTTAGTCTTTATAGATGATATTAGACTAGCACTTTTTGAAAAGCAAAGCAAAATGGATCAATCATCATCAAAGTTCTTATTACCATCAGTCCCTTGATCGTTCTGTAGTATGAATCTAGTAGTACACTGGCCACCGAACAGGCCTGAGCGGTTCTGTCCCACCCGTCTGAACAGTGCACCAGAACACTCACTCCCTCCTCCGCCACTGCCTGTGGACACACATGAACAGAATAACACATGTGATTGTCCCAATCACATGCTATGTGAACTTGGGTACTAAATCATATTTAAAAATTTCTAATAGAGTATTGCCTTTGCAATGAATACTCCAGCATCTAGTACTGCTTTGATGTGTTTTAGCCACCCAGAGTTCTCCAGACCCCAGAGGAAATCACTCATGGTGGGAGCCACGAGATCACCAACTGCAACAAACAGACAGAAAAGGTGCATTACCATATGGATAGGAAGTGATCACCAGACAGGTATCTGTAATAATGATTAATCCATATACCATCTATAAGCTTCTGTTGGCTGTTCCTCATGACATGGATGTTTTCTATGCCAATGAACTGCAGTTTTATGTTAGTGTAGTGGTCCTCATTCTCATAGCCCTTCCCAGCAGCACGATTAGCCATGGCATTCAGCTGAAAGCAGTTACAAACAGCGTTTCAAACTCACAATACTGTTAGTATTTTGGATTATTTACACTATGGTACATTATGTCATACTGGTATAGTTATGGCAAGGTACATTAAGGCATGGCAAGTGGGGAGGGGGGGTGCTTAAAGGAGTAGTTCACTTTAAAAAAAAACATTTTCTGATTATTTACTCACCCCCATGTCATCCAAGATGTCCATGTCTTTTTTTTCTTCAGTCGAAAAGAAATGAAAGTTTTTGATGAAAACATTCCAGGATTTTTCTCCATATTCTTTACTGGTAACTAAACGGTTCAAGGTCCAAAAGACAGTTTCAGTGCAAACTGCAAACTGTTCAAAGGGCTTTAAATGATTCCAGATGATGAATCATTAAAAAAAACGATCGCTCATTAAAAAAAAACAAAAAACACAAAGTTTACGTTTTATAAGCTCAAATGGTCACCTTGCTCTGTTCTGTGATGCGCGTTCGTGACTCTCCTGTTCGAACTTGTTCATCAAAATGAACAAATCTTTTCCAGAGTCAAATTTCATTCATTTCGTTCGTGAACCAAATGACACGAAAAAAGGTTTGTTCATTTTGATAAACGAGTTCGAACAGGAGAGTCACAAACGTGCGTCACAGTACAGAGCAAGCCAACTATTTGAGCTTATGAAACTTAAACTTTTTTTTTTTTTAAATGAGCGATCGTTTCACTTGATAAGACCCTTATTCATCGTCTGGAATCGTTTAAAGCCCTTTGAACAGTTTTCAGTTTGCACTGAAACTGTTTTTGGACCTTGAACCGTTTGGTTACCAATAAAGTGCATTGTATGGAGAAAAATCCTGGAATGTTTATTTCAAAAACCTTGATTTCTTTTCGCCTGAAGAAAGAATGACATGGAAATCTTGGATGACATGGGGGTGAGTAAATTATCAGCAAAAGTTTAAAAAAAAAAGAGTGAACTACTCCTTTAAATGTCATGAAAATATCACTATGCAAAAGTAAATGCTGTCTTTTGAACCTTCTATCCATCAAATAATGAATGCATGGTTTCCACAAAAAAAAATAAGCTTGTGATTAAGTGAAATGCTAAGAAATGTAACTAGATAATCCAGACAGCAAATAAGAATGATTTCTGAGGGATCATGTGACACAGAAAGCTGGAGCAATGGCGGCTGAAAATTCAGCTTTGTATCACAGGCATAAATTACATTTTAAAATATATTCAAATACAAAACAGTTGCTTTAAATTGAAATGTCAAAATGATACTGTTTTTATTGATCAAATAAATGCACCATTTGTACATAAACAACTTTAACTACTATACAAAAATAGACAGACAGATAGATAAGAAAACTTCCAAACTACCCAATCTAAATCTCAACAGCTTGTCCAACCTGTTTTGTGTGTGTGTGCGTGTGTGTTTCTAATCTCTCACCTTTGGCCTTGTGTCCACCACATACATGAACTCGCTGACAGGGTTTGACTTCATGATGGCCTGCAGCATCTGCTCATCGTCTGAGGAGCGTGCACTGAAACCAGAAAGAGGCTGACTGCTCCGACAGATTGATGCCTAGAAAACCAATGGTGTGCGAATTTAAAAAGTGGGGAGGCGAAGACAACCTAGAACATATTAAGCTTAAGTATAAAAATAAAAAAGCTTTCACAGGCTTACTCTTGAGTTTAAATGAATATCATTATTTTTGCACTTACACTGGAATCTCTGTGGTAGTAGGAGAGAACAGGAAGACGTCCTCGACTCCGGAACTTGGCACTGCCCACAATGACAGCAGGAGAGACTGACTTTGGCACATACAGGTCCGACGGGTAAGTGTCACACAACTGCCAAGCAAAGTATTCAGATTACAACTATTGTTTTACATTCTTAAGTTCAGCAGCGGCTGTTTACTTTAGAAAGTAACATTCCTGTGCTTATTATATAAGATTCATCAATTTATTTATTTATTTTTTTTAAATATTGCTCTGCAAATCCATCAGCTCTAAACTTGCTAAGCAATGATGCATGCTTTTACAGAAGATGCTGTTTTTACAAATCATGTTTACTAGCCAAACCTCCAGTGAAGAACTGCATTACCCTTAATCCTGGCAAAAAATCCACCAATCAGAGGTGTCGCTGTTACCGTCAATAGCTTGATTACTATGAGATTCTGATTGCTTTTATTTTCCACAGAGGAATGGAAGTCATGGTTTTTAAAACTACATTAGGTTGAGTAAATGACAACAGAATTTTGATTTTTGGGTGAACTATCCCTTTGTTCAGTATTCATATACATGATAAACAGAAAAAAATCCACACATCACATTAATATTGTTTTTGGCAATGTAATTTAAGGCATAAAACTCAAACACTGATCTCTGAAATTTTGTGTAAAAGGTAATGATGTTTCTTGATCCTGAGGATGAACAGGCATCTGAGCTCATACTGACTCTGTACTCATGATTGGCTGCTGTGGCATGCCAGAGGTTTCTGGGTATTCCCATTCGAATGAATTCTGCCTTCAGGTCGATGAAGGCCCAGGACTTTTCCCTTAACTCTTTATCCAGGTTGGGGTTAAAAGAGAAGCAAAAGAGCTCTCCATAGCGCTCTGCAAAAGAAAAGAGAGAGAGAGAGAGAGAGAGAGAGAAGTAAAAGTTAATGAGTGTGTGGGTCCTATGGGCGAAGCTCACAAAGCTGTATAGAACTGTGCTATCTGACGTTGTAGGTTGTATTTCATAATACACTGTGATGCAACAGCTAAGACCTAGCATTGTCTAAGCAAAAAAGCCAGTGTTCACTTTTCACAGAAGAAAATGCTAATGTAAATTTGTTACATGAATTCAAAGTGGAGGCTTACAGCTGAAAAGACACTAGTTTAAACTATTTCTATCAAAATGGTAGTAATAAAAAAATACTGTAAAAATCTGATTATTGGTTAACCTTACCAAAGTCACTAACCATATACGGGAAGCACAATAAATGGCTTAACAACAGATTGTATATATTTTTAATGTAAACAAACTGACATATTTATGTTTTTTAACAAGTAAAAACTATTTACGGTGACCCACATCACGACACAACTTATTTTACTCATTTTGTTTCTTCTTTTTTCATCAGTAATGTACATAAGGGAGTTTTGGCACATCAGGCCCCATTTATTTTAGTGCATTTGCCTGATGGTCTTTTGTCTGTGTCTGTGTGACCCCTGTACATTTGAGACCTGGCCATCTGTCATGTCATGTGACTTTCTATTTTATCATTTAAATTAATATGGTGGTTATCACTACATTTCAAGGTACAATGCAGATTATGGTCTTCAAGTAAATGTGTATATATTATAATAACTTAAAAAATGGTTATAAGTTGTAAAATATACAAACCCATAATACCCGAAGCAGTGTTACCATATTTTTTAATTGAATTTCTGGCAACCACCGCTGGCAATCTAGAAACGTCCTAATTTTAATACTGAAATAAACCCTAAAAGATAAATGTAGGCCAATATACATTCTGCAAAGACTATTCTGTGACATTTTAAAGGAATAGGTGACTTTTTTTTTTGCGCATTTTTACTTATACTATGCATTTTACTTTACCTGGATGTGAAAGACGTGTGAGGGAAGCCAGCACATCTAGACAGTCCTTCTCCTGTGGGATCAGCAGTCTATAAACATGGAAGTTCTTACAGCGGATAATGAGAGGGCTTCCTGATGGATTTGTCGGGAGTCTCTCCACATTACCCATCAAACTGTGCAGGATCTAGCAGAGCAAGAAAAGTCTTTAGTGACTGTGAAACTCTGGAATAATTACAAATACAGCAGTAATAGAAATACAGTAGTTGGATTCCAGACAAATACATTGACTCCTGTGTTTAATATGTCATATTTTTTTAGAGCAAATAAAAAACAGAATAAGGCAACAACAAATGCAGTTCTAGCAATTTATAGGAGAAAAGTTAACATAGTGGATGACTTGTGTCACTGCGGTTTAAACAATTGGGGTCATTTTTAAGAGGAAGCTTGATTGTCTGCATGGAAAGGTTTCGATTCCTACCCAGGTCTCTTTGCGGGCCTCCGAGTTCTCTACAAATATAGTGTGAGTGGATGACAGGTATAATGTTCCCACCATAGACTTCCTGGGGGTCAGTTTATCAAACATGCGAACATTTTCCACCTGGAAAACAACAAATCATGAAATATAATTTATATAAAATGCTACCAACCTTGTGATGTACATTATATATTGTCAACTTAAAAAAAAAGAATACCCTACCCTACCAAAAAAATACAATGGCTCAGAAGGTCATATGAATTATTTTGCAATAATTACAATCACAATCATTTCTCCAGCTTGGCATATTCTAAAACCTTCATTTAGCTAGGGCCAGATCATCTTAACGTGGATTATTTTGCCCTTGAATACATTAAAATAGTAAAATATCATTCTAAAGATTAAATGGTTTATCAGTAGTGCTCAGGCAGAACCATTCAGATCTTGTTACAATGCACAATGATAGATGAAGGAAAAATGGGGGCTTCGTTGTGGCCTATCATTGGGCTTATTCTGTCAAACCATATTTACAAAAGATTATTTTGGAAAACACATATTACGTGTTTGTCAAAGCATATGCAATTCAAAATGAAAGAAATCTAGAGAATGGATGCTGCATTGTGAGCTATCATGAAATGCCGGGTCGGGACATAAAAGGACATCAGCAGTAACGTTACCTTGGGTGTTCTGATGTGCTCCATTCTAGAGACGGCCGTCCAAATGATGCGCAGAAAATTAATCCAAACCGACCGGGGTATTGGCTGTTTATCAGGTCAGAAGAACAGAGCAGGGCGTCGCATGTTGGTTAAAAGAACACCATTCTATAATAGTATAGCCTGCTGGTAATGTAATTCAAGCCATGGCTCGGGTTAAAGTGAGGAGATCCGCCGTGCGCTCAGACTGGTACACGGTGGAGAACGCGCGCGCGCACACTCACAAACTACGAATCCTACTACGGCGACGGCGTGTGCATGAATATTACCTACGTTGAGTGACGTTGTCCAATAAACCTCACTGATTGGTTGAGGTAGACAATGATAGGTGGGCTCTAGTCAGAAGGCGAACGAACAATTCTCTTTTTTGAAGAAAGTGTGGTTTGTAAATTGTAAATAAGGTACGTTACTGGACGCTTCAACCAAGAAGAAAACAGACTATTTAATATTTATGATCTAAACCCCTCGCTATAGTAGGATTCGTACTTCTACCGTGGATTATTTCACAAAAGCGCATGAGCAAGCATCTACGTCCTATGTAACGTTATCCCTTAAAATACAGACTATCGCCCTTGGAAACAATAAAAAATATGGACAAGAATATGGTTGTATATTCAGAGGCAATCTATGTAAGGCTCCGAATAAAGATCTGTATTATCTGAATAGTTGTATTGATTGGTTTATAATAGCCTTTCTAAGATTTCAATTATTTACAGTGGTTCGATCCTTTAATTACGTCTATTTAAAGTTGATTTCCAGTCACTGGATTACAATTGGCTGAGACTGAATCTTTTGTCTTTTATCATGTGATTTTTATCATGTGAACACGCAGTATTTTGTGCTGTTGTATTTTGTAATGCACCAATGTTTCACAATTTGACTGCCCTTTCATTTCAGTGGCCTTTGATCATATGATGCATTTCCAACATGAATTGCTTCTTTAATGTTATGATCTCTCTTTTCAAAGAAAAAAATCTTATTTTACTTGATTACAATAAATGTTGTTTCTGTGGATTCAACATTTGTCCAGAAGGTGGCGCTAAATTACAGCCTTGAATAATAATTTGAACTATTTATTAGATGCGCTCTGAAATATGTTTCCCCTTTCGCTAGCTATGAAAATATAATAATAATTTATTTATTTTAAGTACAGAATCATATGTCAGAGGAGTGCTGCTGGTTCAAAATCAAAAGATGTTGCCTATTCTTTTGGTTTAGTTTAAAACTTAACTGTTTTTTGACTGTCAACTTTCAATCCAATCCATTCTAACCCCCTATTATTATGGGACAACTCAACTAACAGCTTCGGAAAATGGGACATCATTTACACACCAGGTTTATATAACTCGGATGTCCAATTGTATTGCTTATTATTGGTTTTAACTGATTCTGATAAATATACGTGAACGTGTCAGCGGCTAGTCCTAACATTTACCACATATCACTGTATAATTATATACTTGTATGATTATTTGTTTCTTTTATATTAATAGGATTTCATAAAGAGGTTCATAGTAAATTTCTTTAACTTGTACAATAAGTTACTATTTTGTATGTTTTATGCTATTACCAAGGGGTGGGCGTGACTGACACGCAAACCGTTAAGTCATTTGTTTGATTTCAGCAAGAGATCAACGCAAACCAGAGCCGTTAAATATGATTTTTTTAAATTAATTACTTTATTTTAAATATGATATTTTTAAACGGCTGTGACGCAGACAAGACAACGTGATTAATATTCATGAGCCCAACACAACAGCCTGTCAGGCAGTCAAGATTGTGAGAACGGAGGTAAGACGAGAGCAAAAATAAAATAAGAACAATAAAAATAAGTTATATTTGACTATCTTTATTTAAATATTGTTAACTCGATAAAGACTTTATAGATACTGGTCTTAATCTATGAACTCACAAAGCCCGCAAAGTGTTGTATAATTTTTGAGAAATATGCAATTTTACAATCGCCATTGGTTGAGCCAACGTTGGCAGTTTAACGTTAACGTTAGCAGTTTTCAGGGGAATCAACCTGCAGATTCTGCTTTAACAAGAGCTTTCAACAAACAGATAGTTGCTTACGTCTTATATTTGATCCTGATCGCAAATTTGTTCTCTTTTCTCAGTAATGTCTGACAAACAAACGAACAAACAAAAAACAAACATATTTTTACAATTTTTTTTTTTTTCAGGATTTTTTTTTATAGAAAGTTCAAAACAACATCCCTTTGTAACATTGCAGATGTCTTTTTTTTTGTCTATGATCAATTTAATATATTTAATACAGCACTGGGCAAAAGTCTTTGGCATATTAGTATTTTCACAAAAGAAAATGGGTCTAAGACAGTTATTTATATCTTTTGCTGTTGTGTGTTAGTAGGAAATATCAGTTCACATTTCCAAACTTTTCTTTTGCCATTAATTGTAATAATGCGGTCGGACAACAGATAAAGTAAGGGTGGGATGTCATACTGTAATTATTTAAGATTCAATAAACAAAGTACATAATAATTTTACCTTATTATCTGGCCCCCGATTTTGCCATATGTGTCCTGTCTGTCCTGACATGCAATTCTTTTTTTCTTTTTTTATTATAACTAAGGTTGATATACAGGTATTTGTATGAAACATTAATCTCTATTGTATATTATGGATTTTATATTTACAGGCTCTTATTGCTTTTATAAATGGCTTTATAAAAAAAAAAAAAAAAAAAAATCAGAACAGACCAAAAGAATGACCCAATTTATGAACCAAATGACTCTTACATGTTATTTTACCTCTTCGGAATGTAACATTTGTGCAGACGGTATCATAAAGTTTCCGAACATACCTGATTTCACTTTGCTTCACTAAATAAGTGAACAGGCCAACAATTGAATTAATGGCTTGTTTTTTGTTGAGTAAATATTATTAGTAACTCTATCTGTAAGCGCTATAGTAACGTTGAAGTCTGTGGTCAGGTTGAATGCCCATGTCCACACGCCCCTGAGAGCTCTGGGTGTTTCTATATATAGGTTTTTAGTTTAATACAAGGAGCCTGAGAAACATATGACCAGCAGGCTACTGGAAAAAAAATAATAATAATCCAAAAAAATATATATTTATACAAAGATGTTTATATTATTTATTGTTATAATACCAAATCAACTTTATCAAACACCACCATTGTAATAGGGGTGTTTGATAAGCCAGAACGCTGACATTCTCCCAAGTGAACCTGTTGTCGATTCACTTAAACTCTACAAACAAATCAAATTTATCTTTAACCTGATAACATTACCAGGTCAAGCATTCATTGCACAATTATTTGTATGTGCTTGTGTTAAAATGTATGTGCACATGTAGTGTTGTTTCTGTTGAATAAGCTTAAAAAAACACTGAGAGATACTGTCATCTCTCAAAACAGTGCAGGAGAAATTAAAGGCAAACAGAAAGATGTCATTCTAACCGTCTATTTAAGAGCATAAAACACAGTTACACAGCACTCTGAAACGTACTGAATGTCAGTGCTGTTACAGCTGTGGTTATGGTTACTGGCTGGGGTTTGTGTGTGTGTTGTTGTAGTTATGTGTTTTTCTACACATAATGTGTTATGTGTTAAAGATTTTGTTTTCTTGCAGAATAACGCTGGTTAATTGTAAGATTGTACAAGCTGAATAATAACTAGTTGACTGTGTTGTGAAGTGGACAAAATATCTTTCCACAGCTTCATTCTTCACTGATGCTCTTGGTTTGTTTATGTGTGTGTGTTTTGTCTCAGTGCATGTCAGCAGTGTTTTCTTGGCGTCTAATATGATAAGCTTGGCACAAATTCATGGAGTTTATCTGGAAAACCAGCTGTGAGACTGAAGATACCATAGTCTATTATTGACCACTTGACCACAGTTCACTGATAAAGCAGCTCTCACACCGCTATTAAGTCAGAATATCAACTGGTGTGCTATTTTAACTTGGACCAATAAGCAACCACCCAGAACACACTTGCAGCCATTTAGCATTGTGTTTAAATCATTTACAACACTTAGTTTGGTTTTATTATACCCTCCTCAATGTTTATATCTCTTTGACTGTAAAGCAGAGAAAATGCTGTATTTTTGTGTGATTTAAGGTGCATCCCAATTCACATACTTATGCACTATTCTGCCATTTTGTAGTATGAATAGTGCAAATTTTGTGTTCACATTGAAAATTCCAAAAAGAAAAGTGCACTTTAAATACCTGGATGATGCACTTAAAAAAAAAAAGTGGTATGTTGATGTCGGACAACTGTTGCAGCTTTAATGGACAGGGAAGAAATATAAGACTCCAGTGTTGAATGACAAAAAATCGTATAAAGTTCATACACTACGTGGTTGAGTACATAGTGCATATAGTGTAGACTATTAGTGTGTGTCATTTGGGATGCAACTCTGTCTTCAGAAGCAAAAACTATAATACTATTGTTTTGGCAAATAAAGTACATTTTGCTATTAAATGCTAGCATTAGGCCGCAGAGTAAACCGAGTTGACCAAGTTTTTTTGTCTGGATCATTAGCCATTACAAAACTTGAGACTATTCATTATATTAACAAATTTGGTTAAACCAGCTGACTGATTCAAGCTGATAGAAGAGCAACTTTGACTGAAATAACCACTCGTTACAACCGAGGTATGCAGCAAAGCATTTGTGAAGCCACAACACGAACAATCTTGAGGCGGATGGGCTACAACAGCAGAAGACCCTACTGGGCACCACTTATGTCCACTACAAATAGGAAAAAGAGGCTACAATTTGCAAGAGATCACCAAAATTGGACAGTTGAAGACTGGAAAAATGTTACCTGGTCTGATGAGTCTTCTGTTGAGACATTCAGATGGTAGAGAATCAGAATTTGGTGTAAACAGAATGAGAACATGGATCCATCATGCCTTGTTACCACTGTGCAGTCTGGTGGTGGTGGTGTAATGGTCTGGGGGATGTTTTCTTGGCACACTTTAGGCCCCTTAGTGCCATAGGGCATTGTTTAAATGCCACTGCCTACCTGAGCATTGTTTCTGACCATGTCCATCCCTTAATGGCCATGTACCCATCCTCTGATGGCTACTTCCAGCACCATGTCACAAAGCTCGAATCATTTCAAATTTTTATTTTCTTGAACATGACAATGTGTTCACTGTACTACAATGGCCCCCACAGTCACCAGATCTCAACCCAATAGAGCATCTTTGGGATGTGGTGCAAC